CCACCTTGTAACATATTACCAAAGTATTCTGAATTCGACACAAGAATTATACGATGTGCCTTGATCTTTGATCCACAATCAAGAATAAATTCCACATCCGTAAAATATTCATCCTCAAACCATTTTTCAAGGTGTCCATAAATTTTCTTTTTTTCAACAGGTTTATCATCAAGAATGGTCACTTGAATGAACAATTCAACCTTCTTTGACTTATCACCACCCGGGAATATCGAATCCAAAGAGATGAATTTAGTAAATCCCCATGATGGTAAATTTTTAGTTAAATCAAAAGTGGCTTTGACTGAATTCCTTTGATGAATGAAATTTCTTGAGTATCGAAAATTTAAGCTTTTGTTGGATATTCCAATCCCAATATGATATATTTGATTTCTTTTATCAATGCTCTTCATTATCTCATATGGCGTTTTAATGGCTTCAATAAATAAGGAAATGTAATTATTTTCATTAGGGTACAAGACTAAACGCCATAATGTGGTCTTATCATCATCTTCAACTTGATCCTTGTCGAACGTTATTTGAGGTATGCAAAATATTTGACTTGAAATACGATTTACTTTCTTTACATAATCTTGAAAACTTCCAATCTCCCATATAAATGTATTTTTAATGTCATTCATTTATGTTTTAACGTTTACGATAAAAAAAATATTTGGAAGAGTCTTTCGAAAATGAGTCAATTTGTAAACTAAAAAGTTTAGCTAATTGGAGATCATTTGTACTTACGTGATCATTTATCAAATGACATGTGTGCACAAATATTTAGACAAAAACGTGCATTAAATTCTATAACGTAGTTTATAAAATTTTATGCATGCTAAAAATTGTGAAGTGAAATTTCTTTAGAGCATATTTTCTGGTCTGTCTTTTGGTGCCAAAGTGGGATTCCGGGAAGTTTAAGACCTCCGAATTTCTAAAAAGCCTTACCACGTGATTACCATGCATCAAGTTATTCATGGCAGTTAAGATAAAATTTATTTTAAACAAAAATTTGAAATGATTTCAGTTTAGTTTTAATGCGTACACTTTTAATCGTGAACAATAAGAAAATTTGAGAATATATTTTGATTCGCAAAGTGTAGATATATTGAAAATTTTTGTTCTAATTCCGATTTGGTAAATTTAATAAAGTGCCACCTAAAGCAGCGACGATTTTAAAAGTAATCTGTTCTGTCTGTGTTATTATATTATATTATTAAATAACGCCAAATGAGCATCAAGTTTATCGAATCAAATGAAATAAATTGTTCTACTTATATACAATGCAGAATCTACTAATTTAAGAGTATTGAGTATTTTAATGAATATTCTCAACCAGACTAACTTTAGTATATAAATAGTTAATGCCTTTATTCAAGTAATTTAACTTGAATGATTTGGATATTACTTTCGATTTTCTTTATTAGACCGATAGTAATTTTATGACAATAGTATAAGAAACTCTAAGTTGTCTTACATCAACATATAAATAAAAATCCATCCAATTTTTTTTTTTCAATCTAAAAGCAAATTTACTAACTTATCGATAAAAAATGATTACAATAATTTTTAGAAGACATACATTTGCCAATTGATATATACACTTATCATTGTCCCTCATATTAATGACAATATACTATTTTTTTTCAAAATAAAAAAAAAGAATCAATAAGGTTACTGTTAAAAATTACTTGATCATCATCCAATATTTTAACCTCATTTGAATTTTTAATTTTTATTTTACAATAAAAAATGGGTTTGGTACAAAATCTCGAAGGGTCATAATCCCGAAGTCATAATCCCGAATGACCATAATCCCATAATCCCGAATATTATTATTGCTTCGCCCATAAGAGTTTTATCACGAGTTTTAATGAAGTTTCTTGAGTCTATTAAATTTTCTCTTAAACTTCGCAACGCAAAAAAAAATTTTTTCTCATCCTTTTTATTTACCATACCAAATATTAATTTCATATATTCTAAATAATAAAAATGGATGGAAATTGCGAAACGTACCTTCTCAAAAAGAAAATGATAAAATAAAAGCAGTGTAATGGATTTTCTTCGTGGAATTGCACATAATATTTATTTCTTTATAAATTTTTATTTTTTAGTATTCTAATTTTATAATTACATTTATAGTTATGTTTACTTTTAATGCTTTTAAAATATGAAACGATACAATAATAAAAATTATTAAAGAAAAACTTTATGCGAATTATTGGGTACCCCGATGTATTAATTTGATTTTCGATGTATAATATCATAAGATACAAATCGACAATTAAATTGTATTTTTTTAAAAAAAGAGATTTTGACCTTTCGAGATTTATGGTCATTCGGGATAATTACCTTTCGGGATTTTGATCGAGTATTTTGAACGGCATCCAATAAAAATACATACATTTTCATAAACTGAAACTACATACAGCACATTAAACATTTTGATGATATAAAATGTAGGTAAGAATTTGTTTACAAAATCATTCTCTAAAATGGTCCAAATTTTTTTAGCTTTAATTATAGATGAAAATATTGGTGAATTAAAATTTTCTAAATAGACTATTTACCAAAATAAGCTTCCTGCATTGTTATTTTCGGATCGGATGCTAATTATACGATTTATTTTTATTTATTATTTAAAAAAAAAGATTAACACACTCTTTGCATTTCAATACCTTTTCTTGTAAGATGAGGAAAAATCATTTTTTTAATAATTTGAGTAATTCGATTTAGGTAATTACACCATTACTTTTTACTTCAAGGAATTTATACGGCTTCTTTTTAAAAAAATGTTAGTATTTGAACTTTTTAAAAAAATAAAAATTACTATACACCTACAAACTAAATGTTATTTTGTTCAATTTCCTTAAGGATTTTGAAATAAACGATGTTTTAAAATATGACTGAACAAAAAGCCCAGCAAAAACTTCGCTAAGGTAAATATGGTTTTTTTTAAAAATATCAATTTCACGGATATAATCGACAACAAAAATTGAAGGCCGTTACGTTAACCTTTTCCTAGCCATGCGAAGAGATACAAATTCGTAATGAACTGTTATCATAAACCACGGAAAAAGGAGGAGGCTCCTGGCTGTAAAACCAGTAGTTGTGAATCTATAATACTTCCAAGAATTACTCGCATCTAATGATCATACAGAAAATTTGAAGATAGAAGAAGGTGGAAATGAAGAAGATGATGATAAGAACGTAAAGAATACATGTGGATGGTAGAAAAAATATAGCAGGATAGAAAGATAAAATAAAAGAAAAGTAGGAAAGGGCAAGCTGTAGAAGAAACAGCTATAGCTGAAGCATGCAAAGGTGAAGTTATCGAATTCTTCGAGTTATCTTTAAAAAACAAAAAAAAAATTCAAGACGTCCGCTTTATTTTTTTTTTTCCCAAGGATGAAATCGAAAACCATATAATTGCCCTCGGAATTTGATTGCGCCAATTGACGATCTGGAATTGACTTTCGCACCTTTACAAAAGTTAATAATCCTCGGATTAATAGAATGTATACGCAAAGTGACCATATTGGACATCAGGAATCAATTAATTCATCCAAGCCGGGCAAACATATTGATATTTTTAAAGAATTCCGTAACAAAGGCATGGGAATAAAAATTTGTTATAAAAGAATGATGTTTCATCTTACATTTCAGTAGGATTTGAATTAGATAGTTCAATTCTCATTAGGCCTATTACAGAGCGCCGGCAGAGACATAATAGTTGTAATTCTTTGTAATTAAAATCTCTTTTCCTTTTTCTAATATTAAAATTGATCTATTTCGTTCCTATCGCACTAACACAAATAACTCTCGACTATGCCTATGATCACATGACTATTGATCCGAGATGTTTTTTTTTTAAAAAATTTCAATCTACTCTTTTTTCAAAAAAATCTTTTTATATTTAACAAATAGGTATGCAATGTTTTGATTCCAAGCGATACGATAAAAAAAGATTTATTTATCATCTATATAATGGACTCAAGTTAATATAACCAAATAACCTTAAAAAAAAAAATATAACGCTAGATTTATACTTATATATACTCCAAAGTAAATATTTACATTATACCTAGATTCAAATGTATTTAAAGTTCATATAAATCTATAAATCTATAATTTAATAATAAATAAATAAAACAAATAATAAAGCTAATATGCCGCCACAATTAATAGGCCACTACCGTTCATTTTTATTAAGAGACTGAAAAATAATTGACAAATGGGAGGTGCTAGGAAAATGGGGCTCTGAGCATTTTTTATTAAAATTTTAATAAAAAATGCTCAGAACCCCATTTTCCTAGCACCTCCCATTTGTCAATTATTTTTCAGTCTCTCGTAAAATTTTATAATGAAATTAAAAAGAATTATTTTAAATAGCTACTAGGCAGTAAGAATTTGAAACTGGCAATATTTATAAAATAACAAGATGAAAAGAGGAAGAAATAAAACGATTATAAATTCATTAATTAGAAAAATCAAAAGAATTTATTACTTTAAATTAAAAATTATAGTAAAGTATTTGATTGAGATTGGAACTAGTTATTATGATATAAAGTTAATCAATGGTTGATTCGCAGTAACTTTCTAAACTTTCACGAAAAAATTAAAATTAGAAAATTTTTTATTTAATTTGGAAATAGGATAATTTAAAATATTTTGTAGAATTTCGTTAAAGTTTATAACAAACAATTTAATTTAGCAATGAAATCAGGGATACGATTTCGAAATGACATGCGATGCGAAAAGAATTTATCGTTAAGCCTTGAAAGATTTTTAGAAACCAGTGAATCTTTGTAGTTTCAAATCTTAAATATCAAATCATACAGGAGCCGTATAAAAAGAAAGTTAATTTTATTTCTAAAAATATTCTTTAAAAATATGAAATCTTTAAAAAAATTTGTTAATTAGTAGAAGAAATTGTAAAAATGGAAGATGAATCATATGGATATGTAATAGCATACTACTTTTCAAATTATTCAATTTAAAACATTTTCAACAAGCAATCAGTAACAATATAAACTGTATGTTTTTAAATTAATAAAATCTTTATTGTAATAATTGTAATAACTTAATAATTGGACATACAGTGTATAATAATAACATAAATGAAAAAAAAATATATAAAACTTGTTATTTTAATATAATATCAATTTGTCTCCGTTGTTCTTCTCCAAGAATGTTATAAAGAGGAATGATATTATCAAATTCAATAATTTCCAAATCATCACTTAAATTTCGCATCAAATCAGATAATTCATTATTTTGAATAATGTTTCCTTGTCCTGTTAGAAGGTATGAAAGATTTAAATTATCCAAGTATGGTTTCAAATTTTCGAATTTAGGTGATTCTAAATCAATTTTATCAAAATCAGGATTCGGTATTTTCCTTTTAAAACATCTTCCCAAAATGATTTTTTGAGGAAACCAGTGACCAAATTCATCAAATACACTTTGTAAAGCGTTGAATGGATTCACATTTTTCAACGCTTCGTTTATGGCTTGTTCAAATGCTGAAGGTGTTATATGATCCTGATTCATTACAATTTCATATTGTTCAAATTTGACGAGAAAATCATAATCACAATTACTTGGATTATCAGACTCAATGTCATTAACAAAGGGAAAAGGTTTTAAATCCTTAATTGAGAAGATGTTATTGTTAATTAAACGTTCTTCCACATTTGTTGTTGGCCTGATTACTTCCAAGTAACATCTATTTCTTGACTCGATATTTGGTAATTGGACAAATTTCGCCGCAATCTTTTGACTAAATTCCATATATCAATCACTAAACATGGGGGAAGATGAAAAATTTTGATACATTTTACTAAATTAACATAATTTGCATTTCCAACCCAATCTTCCAAACTTAATTTCTCCTTAAAGTTAACAACTCTAGGTTGTTTCTCTAATAGTGCTTTAAAATTATCTTCTGATCTTGAATTGGATCTTAATTGAGAAACGGGTATGAGATCATTATAGGAAATGATATCAAACATATCCTTTTGATATAAATTACTAATCCAATCGAACAATTTTTCAGGAGTATCCAACATTTTCCCGTTTAAAGTTTCTACTTTTGGTAAAAACCGTGAAACCGAAAATTTGTTAAGTGGAGCGAGTGTGTTAAATTTAGCGAAATTATATGCAGATAACAAAAGAAATTTAAAAATATCAACTTGTTTTTGAGTGATAGAATTAAATTCTTTGATAAATAATTTTCCACCGAGTAAAACTTTTCTAGCAAAAACATGACCGTATAATTCATGGAGTTTTTCGTCATGTTCCAAGAAGGATTCCAAAAGATCGCCTTTATAGATGATTTCAGCAACTGGGAAATTAACACATGCATCATATGATTGTAAATCGTTATTAAAATTATCCTTATCAAAATTGTTGCTGAGCAGATTCATTGGTGTGTATACAATTGGTTGTTCTTTATATAAACTTATACACAATTCACCATGTTCCGCAAAAATTGCTTGTTTACTTGGTATTATGCTATGTCCATCCAAGAATAAGCCATGATTCAATTTCAACTCTTGAATCATTTATTGTTTTATAGCGTCGTCTTCGTGATGATCAGTTACCTTTTCAGTTGCAGTAGCGTCGGTATCGACTATATATTTTAAAATTTATAAAAAAAATAAGCATAAATAAATAATTTGATTAATAAAAAAAAAATGTATATATATATAAATATAAATTATGAACCTGGTACTGGAAATAATTTTGAGTCTGTTTCAATTATCTCTATTTTCTTTTTTCTTTAACTACTTTATGGACTTGTTCAACAATAATTTTATCTGATACCACTAATAATTCTTCTTTCAATACCTCGTGTTGTAATTTTAAGCTTAAATGTTTTTTAGTTACCTCTACATTTTCTATTGAAGTTATTCTTTGAAGAGAATTTTGGCAGTACGATAATTATTAATAATTTTAATAATAAAATATTTAAGATAATAATATAAATAACAAATATACCTAATATATGGATCGTAGAATAAACACTCAACGTAATTGTCACCTTACATGACTCTATTGGTTTTTTTGACGCAAACAGTACACGTTTTTTTACATTTGCAACAAACACTTTCCATGTAAATTCGCTCATGTTTTTGATTCAAGAAAATTTGGTTATAATTATTATCTTTAGATAGATATAAACTAGTATACTTTGGATTTTGATTAGATTTTGAAGCTTCCGAAGTAAATTTTTCAAGGTCAAAAAATGGTCGCTTATGCCATAAATCAAACATGCTAAACTCAAAAGGAAGCGTTTTGTAAGCATCGGAAGTCTGATGATTTGTAATAAGCGTATAAAAAGTAAAATTTGGTGAATTAACATAACGATTGGTTTTTAAACAATAAGAATATGTGCGTAAGCCTAATTTATTCTCTTTTTGATCATTGAAAAAATAATGACAATAACGATGGAATTATTTGAAGAATCTAATTTATTAAATACGGGAATTCCAAAACAAAGGGGAGCTTTTCTGGTAAATAAATCATATTTCAATAATTCGGTATTAATGATATTTGAAGTATCAATTTCACTTTTCACTTTTTTCAACTTTCAATCGAATGTTAAAATGCGAAGGCGTATAGTTAAAATTTGTCTCGTAGCCAACGACCATCCAATTAATTTTCAAATTACATTGACGTGGTTCAAATTTTTCTTGAATACAATGTATTATAAGACTTGGTTGGGCTCATTTATTTGATGGCCAATAGACATGACAATGAAAGAGTTCATTTGATTCATCAGTATCAATGATTGATGCAAAAATGTCATAATCATCATTTTCATCAGTATCAAGAATCTCTGAAATATTTAACGGTAAGTTATAAATTTCTGGGTCTCCACTTGCATTTAAAAAATAATTATGATCATTTACATTTAAGAGAGAATTCTTTTTCCAGCCAATTTATGAGCTTTATTACGCAAATCTCTAGGTAAATGTTTGAAAATACTAATGGGACTTTGAAATTCGATGCAATCCCAATTTTTATAATCTTCCAAAGATTTAATCCAGGCACTTTCTTCAAAATTTGTAAGGCTATCAGGTTGTTTACCCCCGATGAATCTTTTACGATTAGATTGATAAAGATTTGAATTTTCCTTTTTGTTAGTGTGATCAACTGTTAATCCGGCATCTAAGACATTGGGGGCATTTGCGGCGTTGATATTAAAATCTTTTGAACTTTCATTAGAATGATCCGCTGAATTTTTGTAATCTTCAAAATAAGTTCTTCCGCCTAGAATCACCTCGGTTGGAATGAATTCACCAAATTTTTTAGTAATTTTAAATAAGTTATCGGGCCTTTCTAAATCTCTTGTATTTTCATCAACATAATTTATTAACTCATCGGTTGGGATTATATCTTTAATTTTCAAGGATATTTTGCCATAATTAGTATAAATGTAAGACAAGCTGCTTCCTAATTTGGTTAATTCCCTTTTCAACGATCCTACTTATAATCCCAACTTTACAAAATTTTGTAAATTGCTATTAGTATTAAAGAAAAAATTTGTTTTCGTCGTCAAATCTTCTATTTCACTTGAACTGATTTCAACCCTATCTTCTACACAACCTTTAGCACCACATTCAGACACTTCACCAAATTTCATGATGAAGCCTCTAGTATAAACAGTCTTAATCCCATCATCAGTCATGGTACGTCCATAATCTAGTTTGTGCTTATAGTTCAAAAACTCCCATGTATTTGAATACATTAGATATAGATTATAATCGTCTTGATTTTTCACAATAACTTCATCTAAAATGGACCCTTTCTCATCCAATACTCTAACATTATTATTTTGTGAAAATTTGGAAAATGATAATTTGTTACTAATGATTTTATGCTTTTCTAGTAGTACTGCACGAATGATTGATAAATTATCTTTGGGGTTTAAGTGGACCGATGTTGGAATTGATATTGGATTATTAACCGTAACCATAACATTTTCATTATTGTCATATTTGACCAAAGTCGCATAATTTAAAGAATAAACCATTATTAATTTTTTTTTTTTTTTTTTTTTTTTTTAAAAAAAAATTGTTTAATATTTATAATAATTTATTTTTGGTGATACTTTCGTTTATTTTTGCGAAGTCAATAGAAAAAAGGCTTAGTTGTTTACGGAGGAAATTTGCGTAAATATTTACGAGTTAGACAAATTAGTCGATGCATGGCCTAAACTGACAATCTAAATCTTTACTGCCGTATATGGAAATTTTGCATTACATTTTTGTAAATTTTTACCTAAAATTAGAAATTTCTATAAATTTTACACGACACGTGTCAATCAGGAAATTGTCGTATTGTATGATATGTATGGTAAAATCATTTATTGTTGTATTATTGTATGTATGTCACTCGGGAAAATTGACTGCGCTCAAATTAATCTTCTGTCAGTCTGTCCTATCTGGCAGATCTGGACTAAATTTCATTTCGAACATCAAAAATTAATAAATTAGTCTATCCGTGCGTTTAATTAATATACTGTATTTAAGGGCGAAGCCATGAGAAAGAAAAATTTGTTCTAGAAAGATGCCTTTGCTTTTATATTTTCGATTTATTTATTCTTTTCTATTACAGAGCGCAAGCGAAGATTGTAATAGTTGAATCCTTTGTATTTTGTTAATAAATACCTTTTTTATTTTTTGAATTGATCTACAATTGCATTATACGTAATTAGGTGGTGGTGACACAAGAAAACCGTTTCTATCTCAAAAAGGATTTGTTGCCCAACTTAATTAATCAGACCAAAGTAACTAAAGAATTGCTTGTTGAAAAATTCGGCCTTATGGTAAAATTAAGGAAATTTAATGTGTAGAAAAATTTTCTTGATTTTATTTCATAATATAATAACAATATTTAACAATCTATATCCTCCAAGAAACGCATTTGCGTTGATTAACTATGAATCGATTCTGGAAGTATTAAGTAAGAATATATTCCACACTTTTTATATCATTTTCTTAGGTTTTTCAATTTATTCCAGTCCACATAATATTAAAAGAATTTTAACATCGGAATATGGACATGTGATCTAACATTATCTTTATTATTCCGTTAACGAATCGCGAATTTCGTTAATTCGTTAAAGAATTCCGATAACGAATTTCGCTAAATGAATTCTTTTTTTGTATTATTAAAGAATGTATATCGAAAGTTTAAATATCAAGTAAATTTATGTTACAAAACTTTAATTTATTATTAATTTGAAATAGAAACGAGAAAATTCAAATTGGATTTTTCATATTTGAATAAAATGAAAAATAATAATACAATAAATATTTTAAAACTTATTATTCTTTTACAATCTGATATACTTCATAATCTTCTATAAAAAACTTGTCGTCTATATCTCTGATCCTTTGTTCATAACTTTTTAGTTTGCAATATCTTTGTTTAGTTTTAAAATTAGATCTTTATTCTCAAAAGAAAATATAAAGCTATCTTTGTTTAGTAACTATTCGTTTGATTTATCCCATTTTAAAGGATTATATCCACCAAGAATTTCATCTGTATCTTTTACTTTGACAAATGTAACTGTATTAGATATATTATTACATAAAGCATGAAACTTAGAGGGATTGAGTCCATTTCTGCTTTCTCTTAATAATAATTTGAATTTGTATGGTAAATGCAACTCTCTCGTATAATCATATTTGCTTTTAATATCTTTCTTATCAATCCAATTTGAAACAAATGAAGCAATCTTTAAATTAACAATGTTTGAATCAATAATATCAATTTTTCGATTCCTAGGTAATAAAATATTAACGATTGGTTCACTATTAGGATCCAAACAAGAATTTAATAAGTCTTCATAAAGTTGATGTTTCAAAAGTCATTTATATCGTTTATATGGACGAACTCTTTTGATGAATTATTCAGAAGATAAACTAAAAAAATCTAATGAAGGGTAGACAATGTAATAAGGTATGTTCCATCATTTTGAAATCATCTTCTGACCAAGTTGAAGGATCTGGCAAGATCAAAGAATTTTTTTCCAGTTCTCATCTTAATACATGCTCCAAAACTTCAATTTCCTTCATCTGTAAATCATCATATTTGAGAAGTGAAATTAAAGACTTTTCAGGAAGAAATGTAAAGTCAAGTCTGCAAGATTAACATTATTAAAAGATCATAAAAATTGATCTATAAATAATTATTTGACTTAATTGACAAATTGGTCATATTTGACCGATCTACCATCTTTATCATATTTATCATATTTGTCAGATTTGTCATATTTGTTATATTTATTAATTAAATATTATTTATTATATTTATCTTATTTATTATATTGGACATATTATTCTTTATTATATTACTATTAGTTTATTTTATATAAATAGTATGTATTTATCTTTGATTTGAAGAATAACTTGAGATAGAGATTTGTAAATAAACTAAGAATTAACTAATTCAAATAATAAATATTGATAAAGACGATTTGACCCTTCAATTAATTAAACTCGTGTATATTTCTTTCATAGTATTGCACGCAGTTCGAAATGTTTATAGTTATAAACAATAGAAATGGTAAGCAGAAGGTTTATTTATTTAAGTGTCTTTATTAATAACAAATGAATCTAACATAAATCTACGTAAATAAAGTATTGCCAAAATCTTCGGCACTCTATACGATCAAATACGTAATTTATTAATATACTTTCATTATCGTTACAAATAAAAGGAAAGGGGATATATGCTAATGTTGTCTATCATTTTTATTTAGGAAATATATAGAACACTTCATATTTTCTACTCAAGCGAAATCTCACCTCTTTTATATTTAAAATCCAGCAAGAACTAATCGTTCAGAGGCCTTTTTGCCTCGAAACATAATAGCCAGATGGCATATTGGTCAGGGGACAATTGGGCTGTCGATCTATAAAAATCTAACTAAATACTAACAAAACTTAATTTTTAAACTAAACAGAAATAGGACACAATGCCCTGGAACTAATAGAACATGATAGAACAATTATATTTATTTGTAACATATGCCTCCTTTAATTGTCGAGCTCCTGCGAGATCAACAATCGTTCAAATTCTCTTTGTTTTT